AGCTGACTGCAGTCTATATCCCTGCATTTTAAAAAGTTTAATTAAGAAAATTTAGATTATACTCTCTAAATTATTTATTTAATTCTCTATCCACATTAATGATAAATGTCTTTATTTTTTAACTCTTTATAATAGTGTGCGGATATTGATACCTCTATAAATATATGTTTATATATTGTCCCTCGTTATTAATGATGCAACAACTTAAGTTTAGGCAAAATCCAAACCAAAAGTGCTTTTCGAACATGGCTAATTGTATATGGCACGTGTTAGCTACCCTAACTTAGTATAATATAAAATTATTTTACAAGTTACGACGACATATATCCTCTTCTATTCTTTATCATACACATTCATTTGACCTTTTTGTGGTAAATGCATTTGAATATTGGAAAAATAGTCATGAGTAATCTTATTTGATTCACCTCTAAATTCACTTTTTTTTTTTGTTAATTATTTTTACTAATATGTAATTAAATTAAAGGTATTAATGATATATAAAAATGCATTTATAACAACCTTGTAATAGGTTTTATATGGGGTAAAATATATTTTAAAATAAAAAGTTCCACAAATTCTTGAATGCTTCTGACTTTCTTTAGCTTATTGAAATATAAAAATGCTTCTGACTTTCTTTAGCTTATTGAAAGACAGGTTAGAGTTAGCCTAAAAAATTTTAAGTTACGCTTTAAAATTACTACTTGAATACATTTAACTTTCATTAGCTTATTGAAAGACATGTTAGAGTTATCCTAAAAGTTTTTAAAGTTGCGTATTTTATATAATATAAAAATTACTACTTGTATATTTAACATAAATTTTACCCTTTAAAACACTAAATAAATAATGTATTAGTTTGATCTAGAGCTGTCAATTCGGGTAAACGGGTCGGGTTTGAGACGGGTTAGTGTGAGTTGGGTCGGGTCAATACGGGTTAATGTCATAACATATGCGGGTCGGGTTCGGGTTGGGTCATGCTTAAGTCGGGTCACGTCGGGTCATACATTTTATCGGGTTTGGGTCGGGTTAGGAAAAGGTTGGGTTAAAAAAAAGAAAAAAAAAAGGGAAATAAAAAAAAATAAATAAATAAAAAGGGATAAAAACAAACTTTGTCAACACCACAACCCATAAGAACGGTTGAACTGTAGAAAATTCTGTACAAATTGTAAAAAAAAAAAAGAAAAAAAAAAGGAAATAAAAAAAATAAAATAAAAAGGGATAAAAACAAACTTTGCCAACACCACAACCCATGAAAACGGTTGAACTGTAGAAAATTCTGTACAAATTCAAAAAAAAAAAAAAAAGAAAAAAAAGGGAAATAAATAAATAAATAAAAGGGACATGGATGGAATTTATAGGAAACAATATACTGTGCAACTGCCCTTTTGATGCAAACCATGTTTTCTCTTTTTAGAAGACTAGTTGGGTCGCTGCGTGCTACGCACGCATCAACCAACTGTAATAATTTATATAAAATTTTCAACCTATAAGTTAAATATTTAAATTGTATAAATTAAAAAATGTATACAATTAAAAAAAAGTATTAAAAGGGAATGCATAGTAAGTGTTATTATGGAGCATTTTTACCAAAACTAATACTCCATAGAAATATAATCATATTATTCAACAACTAAGCTGTAAAAAAAATTACCATTTGACATAAACCCTACAAATAAATAATTAAGTTAGATTGCATTAAAAAAACATTTTAAATTAAAAGTGTATGTGATGTATTGTGAATAATAACGTTAATAATTAATTAGTAAAAATCATTGCTTGGATGCAAAGGCTTACAATAATATTTGGTACAAAGAATGAGCCTACATATGATATGTATATCATATTTATTTCTCATAATCATCTTCAAAAAATAATAAATCTACTTCAATTATATTTTGGGTCACCTATTGTCATTCAAATACTAAATCTGACTGCAGTCTATATCCCTGCATTTTAAAAAGTTTAATTAAGAAAATTTAGATTATACTCTCTAAATTATTTATTTAATTCTCTATCCACATTAATGATAAATGTCTTTATTTTTTAACTCTTTATAATAGTGTGCGGATATTGATACCTCTATAAATATATGTTTATATATTGTCCCTTGTTATTAATGATGCAACAACTTAAGTTTAGGCAAAAGCCAAACCAAAAGTGCTTTTCGAACATGGCTAATTGTATATGGCACTTGTTAGCTGCCCTAACTTAGTATAATATAAAATTATTTTAAAAGTTACGGCGACTTATATCCTCTTCTATTCTTTATCATACACATTCATTTGACCTTTTTGTGATAAATGCATTTGAATATTGGAAAAATAGTCATGAGTAATCTTATTTGATTCACCCCTAAATTCACTTTTTTTTTGTTAATTATTTTTACTAATATGTAATTAAATTAAAGATATTAATGATATATAAAAATGCATTTATAACAACCTTGCAATAGGTTTTATATGGGGTAAAATATATTTTAAAATAAAAAGATCCACAAATTCTTGAATGCTTCTGACTTTCTTTAGCTTATTGAAAGACAGGTTAGAGTTAGCCTAAAAAATTTTAAGTTACGCTTTTTATATAACATTAAAATTACTACTTGAATACATTTGACTTTCATTAGCTTATTGAAAGACATGTTAGAGTTATCCTAAAAGTTTTTAAAGTTGCGTATTTTATATAATATAAAAATTACTACTTGTATATTTAACATAAATTTTACCCTTTAAAACACTAAATAAATAATGTATTAGTTTGATCTAGAGCCCTCAATTCGGGTAAACGGGTCGGGTTTGAGACGGGTTAGTGTGAGTTGGGTCGGGTCAATACCGGTTAATGTCATAACATATGCGGGTCGGGTTCGGGTTGGGTCATGCTTAAGTCGGGTCACGTCGAGTCATACATCTTATCGGGTTTGGGTCGGGTTAGTAAAAGGTTGGGTTAAAAAAAAAAGAAAAAAAAAAGGTAAATAAAAAAAATAAATAAATAAAAAGGGACAAAAACAAACTTTGCCAACACCACAACCCATGAGAACGGTTGAACTGTAGAAAATTCTGTACAAATTTAAAAAAAAAAGAAAAAAAAAGGGAATTAAAAAAAATAAATAAACAAAAAGGGATAAAAACAAAATTTGCCAACACCACAACCCATGAAAACGGTTGAACTGTAGAAAATTCTGTACAAATTCAGAAAAAAAAAAAAAAAAAAGGGAAATAAATAAATAAAAGGGACATGGATGGAATTTATAGGAAACAATATACTGTGCAACTGCCCTTTTGATGCAAACCATGTTTTCTCTTTTTAGAAGGTTATAGAAAAAGGTTCCCCCCGCCGGGGAGGGGGTTTGGCGTCGGCCGCAAAGGAGGGGGTTTTTTCGAGGGTTGGGGAGGGTTTTAAGGTGAGGGGAAACGGAGGGAGAGGGGGCTAGGGAGGGCCGGGGGTGTCCAGGGTGGAGGGGCTGGCCTCACCGGCGACCGGCACCGGTTTTTGGCTAGGGGGAGGGGGACCACCGGCGCCGACGGCCGTTGGCAGGGGTTGGCTTGGTAGGGGAGGGGGTGGGTTTATTATTTTTTTTATATTAATTAATTAAGTAATTAATTAAATTAATTGATTAATTATTTAAAAGAAAACCAATTGCAGCATGCCACATGGCATAATTAACCTTAATGACTAACGGAATTAACCACCGTTAGTCATTAAGGGCATTTCGTGACATATTTCTTAAACTCAAGTGTATTTGGTGAATTTGAAAATTCTGATGGGTATTTGGTGAATAAAAAAATTACTCAGGAGCATTTCATGAAATTTCCGTAAAAAAAATTGTACAAGAAAGATAGTAGGTTTAATAGTTTGTTGAAAAGTAACGAATGTGAGGGGAAAAAATGAATAAAAAAAGAAGAAGTATTGAGTTTGAGGGAGGACCATGATAAGAGAGATATATATATTATTAAAGTGTAAATTTTTTACCAAAATAATGTAATACTTATTAGAACTTGCCGCATTTGATAAGTGTAAACTTATTAAAATACGGAAAGTGTAATGAGTAATATGTAATTTATACTTATTAATAATTAAATATATTATTGGTCAACATTTTACATCGATATGTGTACCAAGTTATCACAAAATTACGATCGAAATACGTAAATACTCCCTCCGTGTTTTTTTAAGTGATACATATTGACCGACACATAGTTTTAGACAATTTAATTGACATAAATAAAATAAGAGGTAAGTGGGGTAGTGGAGTATTAAAAAATTGTTAAAGAAAGATAATGGAATTAATAGTTTATTGAAAAGTAATGAATGTGAGAGGAAAGATATAATAAAAAAGTAGTTGTGGGTTTGGGTGGGGGCCATGAGAGGAGAGAGATATAATATTTTAATGTATTGTTTTGCCAAAAAAGGAAATGTATCACTTAAAAAACACGACCGGAAATGGAAAATGTATCACTTAAAAAAACACGGAGGGAGTAGAAAGATTTTTGTAAAACGGATGAAGTAATATATAGTGTATATAAAGGTGTCCTACAGTCTATACGGTTATACCTATGATGTCTATATACTCCCTCCGTTTTTAATTACTTGCTCCATTTCTCTTGGGCAAGTATGCGGATGCTAATCTTTGATCAATTATATGTTTAATTATCAATAAGTATAAATTCTAACAATTAAAAATTAATAATCTATTCATTGAGACAATTTCAACAAGCACCCACAAAACTATATTTTTATTTATTTATAAATCACAAACATTAGTCAAAGTAGGACAAATAAATAGTTTAAAAAATAGAAATGGAGCAAGTATTTAAAAACAGAGGGAGTATATAATAACTATCCATGTAATATAAAGGAGAATACTTCCAAAAAAAATGTAGTTTATCACTTTATATTAGTAGGACATGTTTGGTAGATAAACTCTAACCTACAAAAAGTCACCAACGTAAGCCAAAAAAAAAAAAAAAAAAAAAAAAGTAAGAAGCAGCAAACTCAGTAGGAGATAAATGGAATTGTGCAATATCTTTGTACTGTACAACTACCCTTTAATAGCAAACCATCAATTCTCTTTTTATATAGTATAGATATAAGAACATAATAGCTAAGAGTAAGGCAAACGCCACAAGAGTTCCTAGATAATACTGAACAATACTATAATATCACTTGGGAAACCTTTACTCTATGAAGAGTAAGGCAAAGACCAAAAAGTTCCCAAGTAATACTTTAACATAACATCACTAGCCAAATCTCTACTCTAAGATTAATGACCAAAAGAATTCCTAAATAATACAATAAATATCATTTAATCTCACACCAATCGACCTCAATACGAAGAAGATAACTATTTGTCTCTACAATCTTGAAACCTTCACCAATTTCAATTTTTGTAGCACATGAAAAGTTTTCATCAGATTTGCCAAATAATATATCTACGTTGACAATAAGAGAGGCATATGATGGAACAACAATCATGGATCTTGAAAGTGGTATTCTCGAATCATCACTTACTTGAATTAGATCATCCCGAATCTTCTCGAATAACACAATCCGGTAGTAGTCTTTGTTAAAGCGCGATGTATAGTCATAGCAACTATATTGAGCAATAAGGCTACCCCAAATCTTAGGACAAACATCACCACATCCTGTTTTAGGATTTAGAAACACCTTAATGTTTGCACCAACAGCTTCTGAGAAGATTGAATAGTGTATTGCTGCAAATCCTCCCTGTTGACCCGGAATAAGAGAACACAATTGCTTTTCATACCACAAAGAAGTGAAGTACAGAAGCTGCCCAATCCACTAAGCCTCGAATAGCTAAACGGTCTTCAGTATCCTTTATGCTAAACTTCATTTGTAATAAACTACAATCATCAAAAACTCTAGAACCATCTGATACAGGTAATGATTTCTCATTTTCAGATAATATCAAGGCATTTTTTTTATCTCTGTTAAAGATATAACAAATCTTGTCATCATCATTTGATAAAACCTCAATTGAACCAAAACTTCTTCCACCAGAGATGCCCATGGCTTACTCTGATGAGCACGAAGATTCCTGACCAAAATTTTCAAGCAAAATCCAAGGAAAAAAATTCATTCTGTATTCAAACAACATATTAAATAATATATACATTCACATGAACATGATATTTATATCCAAATGGCTCGAAGTCCTTAATTTGCTCAATAATCACAATCAAATAGTCTAATATTTTGGCATTTAAACATAATCATAAGACCCATTTGATACTTCACTAGTTCATGAACAAGACTAGCTCATCTACCTTCCAATATCAATTAACAGCCAAAAGTTATGTATAATAGTCCATGGATATTGATTATAACTAGAGAACCTCACAAATAAATTTAACCTCGGAATCTTTTTTATACTTGATATAAAGCCAGAAAAAAATACTACTTGATATCAATACATTACCCAACATTTAGCATTGTTGTTCATACACATTAAATAACATAAATCAAATCTCACAGTCATCCCCGTTAAAGAATAAAGTAAAGTAAAGCATTCCAACAGTATATGTAGTCAGATTATGTAAAATATAGCATTCCAAATTCAAACTTAGCAAGTGTAAGCAAATATTATTACCATAAGATATCTAAAAGACCAATTAATTCCCTACAACTCTATTGAAAATCTAATAATAAACTTGTCAATAGAATTCTACCAACCTTAACTAACATCCGATATTAATCTAATTCGAATTCAAGCTCAGTTGCCGAATCGACTAAGCACTTAGTGCATTAGAAAAATGAAAACAATACACCATTACAGAATAATCCATGTTACAGCCTAAGCCTTTAGAATCACATTTATTCTAAAAAAATTAATACTAGATAGAGGGAAAGGTGTCTAGTAAAATCTAACCTACACCGATAAATTTAAGGCAAAACACAGCCCCAAAACAAAGTCACAATTACAAGTAGGCATTCATTGGGTAAAATTGTTGCACCATTTGACAATTGTAAACATACCGACATACACTATGGATTTTATTGAGTTTCATATTTGCCAAGCAAATAACGATATTATCGACATATAAGCAAGATAGATCATATAAGAATTTTTAAGCATAGATAAACAGGCAACATACCATGAGAGTTCAAAGCTAGATGGGAATACAATCTTAGAGTCAATCCGTTGTCCAACCACATCATGCGAGAACCATGCGACATGAACATGAATAGCTAAATCATCCAGCAAGATGGAACTTGATGTCATTCTCCCATCTTTAGCCGACAACTCCACTGATTGATCAACAATATATCACATTGTTTTAAATTCATACAAATTAAGGACCACAACAAGAGAAGAACAAGAGAAGAATAAGCTGGTAATGACACCCAACATCTAGAAAGTGGAAACCGTTTGGCAGTGTTGATCTCAACAGGGAAGTCATGCTTCTCAAACAGAACACAATCTTCAGAAGAATAATTCCCATATGTATTGGCATAACGAGCAACAATCCTTCCATTTACATTCAAACCATCATGTTGTTTACCTTGACTACTACAAACTTTAATTTCTATTCTACAATGAACTCCAAATGGAATACAAATGTACTTAACAATAATAGACCCTTGCTCGCAATCAATGGACATAGACTTAACTTGTTCATAATCATCTTCAGTATTTGTTTCATCCAAAAAGAAAGATCTTGCAATAATGTTGCCGGTCTCATCAAATAACTTCAGAGTTATTTTATTTTTTATCAATGGCATACATGCATAATTTGGCCAAAATGAGTAATCAGGACCCTTTAATGTCAACAACCCGTCACTTCCTAAAATCTCAGCTTCACTCCTCTCTCTTTTATACAACTCAGACACCACATTATTTTTCGAATCAAAATACTCAACACAGATGTAACCATACATAGCATGCGGCTTATTCCTACTTTCATCTTTTGGTTTGAAAGCTACTGACAATATATGAGCAAGGGGTTGTGTGCGGAGAGCACGTCTGCCAAAAAAATTTTCCCACTCCCTCCTCTCATGAAGAGATCTGATTGTTGCATCAAACCACACATTACTATAATTCTGAACTCTAATTTTCTGAATCTCCTCAATTGAAACATTGTAATACTTGTCAGCATACTGTTTGAGATCCAAATCCATATCAAGAAATGAATAAATTATTAATCATCAATACATTGGGGTCAAAAGAATACAAGAAAGTGAACAAAAAAATTCAAAGATTAAGTATTTGAATTCACAAATAACTATATAGTCAGACTTCAACGCGGAAAGAAAAGGAAGATTGAAAATAAAACAGCTACATTATTTGTTCATCTAATAATGTACTCACACCAAAGATTCATTCAAAGCAAGTGTACTTTTTTATTCAATTGAAGTGACTATGAACCATACAGCTCAAAAAGATAAAACAAAGCATCATATACTTCAAGTAAATTCCTTGATTTAACTTAAATCTGAATAATTAGCTCCTACAACTTTCAATAATTTATCATCCAGAAACAATTACCATCAATATCAGGGAAAGGGTGGCAGATATTTTTCGGGTGCTGGGTCACCACCGACTACTAATCAATAATTAATGCAAGAATATTATAAAAGCTAATAATTATTATTTTAAAAAAAATAACATTCCAAAAGTAATAAATATCCATACTACAACCAAATAAAAGAAATTACAATTACTCTCTACGAGTTTTCATGTTTTAATATTGATCTAGAATATCATTTATGTCAACATTCAAAAACATGTCTCTCTCTATATAAGTAACCAAACAATCATTCAACATTCAACATTTGGAGGAGAATTTTGTGGAGGGGGATTTTTCGGACCAAAGAAACTTGTGATATCGCACATTTTTTTTCTTTTCATTCTGAAAATTAAGTTACATTATCAATTAGATTAAGCAAACCACAATTGCTTCAAAAATCCAAGTTAATTATACACACTAACTTGATAATTAAGTATAGCTAAAACACTAATAGTGAGCTTAGCACTGAACATATACAGATTCAAGGCAATTATTCAAAATCACTAATCACTATATCCAATTGACCACTACTTATATCAATTTCAAAAAAATCAGAAAAGCAATTATCTAAACTAATCAATTCCAAAACAAAAATCAGAAACCCTAAGTTCTTAAATCTTAACCCCCTTAATTTCATAGATAAAATATGAAATCATCAATTTTACTAGCCCATTGCCAATTCATAATATCAATTTCAAAAAAAAAAAAATCAGCAATTCAATATTATCAATTCCTAAAAAAATCAGAAACCCTAACTCCCTAATTTGATAAATTTAATAACATATCAACAATTTCAAAGAACATACACACTAATTGACTAGATTAAATAACATAAAAAACTCAATTAAGAACAAAATCAAGCCAACAATTCAACAATTAGTGTTTAATACGAAATTAAAAACTTAAAAATCAATTAAGTCGAAGGGCACACAAGAAAGCTGTAGGAATGGAGTGCGGCTATGCGGACGGAGGTGGCTGGAAGGTGCGGAGGCCGACGGGGCGGGGCGGTGCGGCGGTAGGCGACAGCGGATCCGCGGTGTCAGTGTAGCGAATGGCGAAATCCGTGACTTTGAGATTGTAGAAGAGAGAGAAGAGTATGTTACGGAGTATTACGTCTCTGTTTTGTTTTTCCCCTTTCAATTCCTTCGTTCAGCCTTTTTTTTTTTTTTTTTTTTTTTTTTTGGCTAGGTTACGGTGTTTTTTTTTTTTTTTTTTTCTTTTGGGCTAGGTCATGTTAAAAATTCTTGTGTGGACCTGATCCACATTAATTATTAATGTGAACCAAAAGCCCACATGTGCCAAAACTGCCAACCCCAGCCTAAACCATAACGTCACTTCCTATGCCCCAGGCTGGAAATTTTTTGTCCCTTTCTCTCTCTACCTTCAATCTCCAGCCCAGATCGAAGAAAATCCAAAGAAGATGGTCGATCAAACATCGACAAATTGATATCAATTCAATAGAGCAATTGATATTTCAAATCAATCAAAGACGATATTACTGAAGGTAGTACAAATCAAAACCCTAAAATATCAGTTTGATTTCAATTTGTTCTAATTAAAAGTAAAATCTAAATTATTTTCTGAGAACATGTAATTAAAGAAATCAAACAGGAGGAAGATAACCTAAAATCAATTTCTATAGGTAGAATTATATTATGTATCTACTAATTGCTTGTTGATAGACCTCGAATTTATGCGATAAATATAAGTATGATTTGAGTAATTTGGTGATATAATTTTATTTGAATTCATCTAATATATTATTAATTGATTTAGTGGGATACAATATGATTCCATGAAGTGATGTGAATTTATTTGCTAGTTGCTAATCTAAAGTTATTTCAACTGCTATTTGTCGCTCCCATTTTACCAGGTAACGCTCCCTTTTTGACTTGAATGGACCACTATGCCCTTTATGCAATTTGTGTTATAAAAAGGACATTGTTCCCCATTTGGACACAATACATGAAACGGTCCCCTCACTTCACGACATTGTTGTCCCGAGCCTCCCAAAATCGGTCCCCACGACCTTGCAACCAAATCGGTCCCCTCGACCACCTAAATTTTATATTTTAAAAAATCGTGAAATTTTCCGACGGGTCTTGGGTCATGGACGGCGAGTGGAACATACGTACGCCGGAGAATGCGTCGGATCATTCTGTAAGTTTTTTTTTTATTTTTTTATTTTCGGCAATTAGGACATCCGCCTAAAATTTCCGGATGTCCCTTGGTACATCCGCCTAAAATTTCCGGATGTACCATGGAACATCCGGAATTTTCAGGCGGATCCCCTGTTCATATTTAATTTTTTTAAAAATGTTAATTACGTTTATTTAATTTTTTTAATGTTAATTAAGTTTTTTTTTTATGTTTTTTTTTTCGTGGTCTTGTGATTATTGTTGTGATTTAGTATTTGATAATTAATGTAATTTTGTTGTTGTTGTGATTATTGTTGTGATTTAGTATTTGATAATTAATGTAATTTTTTTGTTGTTGTTATTATTATTATTATTATTATTATTTATTAATTAATGTTGTGGTCTTATAAATTGTTTTGTAGTTGTTGGTTTAATTTTTTATTATCATTAATATTGTTATTGTTTTGTATTTGTTGTTATTATTATTAGTATTGTTATTATTATTATTAGTATTGTTTTATTATTATTATTATTGTTTTTATTATTATTATTATTATTTTGACATAAACCATGTTTTGTTTAATTTGTATAGGATATGGAATCTGAGGAAGGCGGTGACGGTGTGAATTATAGTGGGAATTTTGTCACCGATACGTTTTTTCCTACATTTGACGATGCAATTACATGGGCTAATGGTGTTTCCATAAAACTGGGATTTATATTGGTGAAATCGTCTTATAACAAAACCAGAGATGGTCGGTCGTATCGGTATTTGAGATGTGATCGGTCACGAAGGAGCAAGCCGAGAGATTTCGAGAACGCGATACGGAAGGACACCAAAACCAAAGCTAATGGTTGTCCATTCTACATCAAGATATATTATGATGTCAGCACCGAAAGTTGGAAGATCGTTGCGAAAAATGATCACACCGGGACACATAACCACCCAATGATTGTGTGCCCAGAGGGTCACCGTAAAGTGAGCAGATTGAGTCCGGGTGCAGAACAGGTTGTGCGGGACATGACAAAGTCCAAGGTTGCTCCCTGTAACATCATGTCCACTATTTCCGAGCAATTTCCTGATGATCATCCAAACATCCGACACATTTACAATTGCCGAAATGACTTCAGGATGGAGATGTCCGAAGGAAGAGGAGTTGTTCAACAATTTCTTCATCTGGCGAGAGAGAGTAAATACATTTACTGGGTCACGAACGATGATCACAACGTTTTGCAACATGCATTTATGGTGCACCCGATCTTGGTCAACATACTCCGCACATACCCACATGTCATAGGTATGGATTCTACTTACAAGACCAATCGATATAACATGCCTTTTTTGAGATAGTAGGCGTGACACCGACAAACCAGAATTTTCTAGTTGGATATGTTTTCATGCGCGACGAGTGCACGGCTAGCTATCGGTGGGTGTTGCAGAGATTAAGGGAGTTGATTGGGTTTGATAAAGACCCATCTGTATTTATTTCAGACCATGATCTTGGGCTATGTGTGGCTTTGAGAGAAGTCTTTCCAGGGACGTCACATTTACTCTGTCTATGGCACATCAACAGAGATGTGGAGGCTAAGGTGACGAAGATGTTTGGAAACAAGACGGTTGGTGTCAGTTTTAGAGCTGGGAGATGGTTCAAAATCGTGAATGCAACAACACAGGCGGAGTATGATCGTGCTCTAGCTGCCATGCAATTGAGGTGGGGAAAATATCCGGAAGTGATTCAGTATGTTCAGAGAACATGGCTTTGTCATAAGGAGAAATTTGTGAAATTTTGGACGAACCAGGTTCTTAACTTTGGTAACACCACCAATTGCAGAGTTGAGAGCCAACATTCAGCAGTGAAAACTTGGTTTGAATCATCCACAGGTTAGTTGTATTATTTTATTAGTTGTTCTCGTTGTTACGTAATTTTAATTGTATTAATTGTAACTGTATTAGAATTTACTAATTAGAATCATTGGCAGGTGCTTTGGATATTGTATGGGCCCGAGTCCATTGTCATATCGGTAATCGCATCATACAAATTCGTAATGACTTGGAGGCATCAAGGTCTAAAATTGGTCAGATGTACAGACAGTTGCCACTGTCACGTATAAATGGCAAAGTGTCTCAACATTGCTTGAAAGTTCTGGATAAGGAGACGAAAAGGATGCGGGATTTGAGTTACCAGGTCCATGAACGGTGTGGATGTGCTATGCGTGTGACCCATGGTCTTCCATGTGCTTGCCAGATACACGATTCGATAGTTGCACAGACAGGATTGTATAGCAGCCAAATTCATTCTTTCTGGAAGATACTGGTTAATTATTGGTGATGGTGTTAAAATTCCTAAAGTGGTAAATGATTCGACCGAGGAGGCTGCACATTTTCGGTCCCTAATCGATGAAGTCATGGAAAGTGACCCGGCCGTACGTCGAAATGTAACGTGAATCATTGAAGAGGAGCTACATCCAGATCATTCACACCTTGAAGAACCACATATCAACCTTAACACTCGTGGTCGACCGAAGAGAAATAACACCAGGCGTGATCGTAGCTATTTCGAGCATGTGAACCGTCAACACACTCAACGTGGTGGTGACCCAGAACCAGGTAATACTAAAATTCTATATTTAATATTAAAATATGTAAACTTAATACTTGTAGATTTACTAATAATTTATCTTTTAATTTTGTGTTATAGATCCAAGCGACATTAGTCAATGCAGGTATTTGAACTTGCTTCCAGCCCCAATGTTGCCGTACATTTCGTCTTGGAAGGATGTCATTGGTGATGGGAACTGTGGCTTTCGTTATGTCGCTGACTTCTTCTTTGGCGATCAAAATCAGTGGTTTGACGCTCGGGAAACAATACCGAACGAGATCGCTGGTCATCCTGATTTGTACGAACGGATTTACGGGCTTAGGCGACTTTGGATGAACGTAGAGCGTATTCGATGGGATGGTGGGGCTGTCGGGGAGCGGCATTGGATGGTTACAATTCAAGATTTATTTCCTATTGCTACGTGGTTCAACGCAAGGGTGATTTGTCTCGGAGTAGGCCTAGTACCAACTTGCTACTACCCATGCATCACAATGTTACCGCTGAGGGAACGCAACGGGGTTCGGTCACCGACTCGAGAGTTTATGATTGCTACAGTTGGTGGATCACATTTCATCTGTCTTGACCTTGTACCTGATTCACCACTCCCGCCGATCGCCGGTTGGTGGACGGAACACCACGAGGATAGTGTCAATGGATGGGATCAAGCATATCAATTGAGAAGGGACATGTGGGATGCATTAGTTAGGTAGTTTGTAATGTACATTCACTAACTTTGAACATTTGTAAGAAAATTAGAATTATGAAATTAATTTTAAATGTATTTGCTATTAATCTAACATGATATGCAACAAAACATCAAATATAAAAAAAATTAAGTGTCCAGTTTATACATTACATTTAAAAACAAAAAATAAAAATAAGTTCATAACATAATTAAAACCACTAACAGAACATCTAATCAAAATAATCTAAAGTTCCATTTTTTAATTCCAATCAAATACAAGCTGCTCAGTCATTGTTCGAGTCTCACTCGACATTTCAGGATACTCAGCCAGTGCTCTTTGGGTGAATCTCCATAGACCGACCCATCCACTGCAAATCAAACAGTAATATATTATAAACACAAAAATTCATATAAGTCATTGTTAATATAATAATAAGCATAAATACTTACGTAATCAGTGTTAGTCCGCTCAGGCAGGTTGCTTGTAACTCCTGCACCTGGAGATACCCGCGGGTGAGAAAACCTGTACAGCCACTGCATGTAACCAGGCGCAACCGAAGGAGCTGTAGCACTAAGCCTGGTGAGGGCACCTAAAACTACACTCTGAGATACCCCAGGGACAAACCGCTTCCACATCACATCTGTCATCTCAGTCGGGAAGTCTACCCGATACATCTTCAAGTTAGTCGGCCTCTTGGCCTTCTCTGGCCTGATGATCTCGCGGGAAATACCTTGCACAAAACCAAG